CTTTGATTATTTAGAAAAATGGGCTCCTTGGTAACTATGAATTGGAATCGGCTTGACAGCAATGGGTTTGATTTAGTTTTTGGTTAACTGTCCCTGGGTGGCACAAACAGTTAAGCACTTGACTAATAACTGAAAAGTTGGTGGTTCAAACTCACCCAGAGGTGTCTCACAAGAAAGGCCTGGCAACCTGCTTCCAAAAGGTCACAGACTTAAAAACCCTATGGACCAGTTCTACTCTGCACAGATGAGGTCACCATGAGTCGAAATCAGCTCATTGGCAACTGGTTAACAATTCTTTTGATATTAATGCAACTTTAAGCCCACGGTTCTTCCTCCTGCCTCAGGACATTTTTACAAGTCCTCATTTCTTGAGTAGAATGTTCTTTCCCTCCATGTGCCCCCTGTATGACTACCATCAGTAAACAGAGGGCAGTCTCTAAGAGCCGATTAGAAAGAGTGAAGTGAAAGGGCCATTTATAACGGTGTGGGCAGGGTTAAGGGAAGCAAAAAAGAGATGGTGAAACCCCCAGGGGCTGGCAACAGAGAAATCATGTCCATCCTCAGCCTGAAGCAAGGAGGGAGGAGCCAGTTACTGGAAATTGCAGATGTGTGGGAAGAGCTGTAGCCTCCAGTAGACAAAGGAAGACATTGCCAGCCAGCAGCCTGACAGGAAGAAATCTGGGGTAATAATACCCTACCTCACTCCCTTCCTTCCCATCTCCTGATAGTGCCTTCCATTGGCCAAACCAGATGAGATGCCAGAAAGGGGACCAAGTGGTAATATCAGCCTCCTAGAGTACGAAGTACAGAGTGGATTTGGAAGGACAGACAGCATCCAACACACCTGGGTAGCTTCTGGTTTTGAATCAGCTCTCAACTTCACTGTCACTTCTTCAAGGAAGCCTTCCCTGACCTCCTGACCAGATCGTGGCTCCTTCACCTGCTCTCATAAGCCTTCTGCTTCCTCTTCAGAGCACTTACCATGGCTACAATGGAGGGATTAATTATGCAAATTATTATGTGATGACTGGCTCTCATACTAGAATGTAATCTCTGTGACCGAAGAGGCCACATGCCATTTGTTAGTGAATCCTCAGGGTCTGGCACATAGTAAGAATGGCTAGATTTATGGGAGTGCCAAGAGTTGGCAACCTGATGTGAAAAGATTGAGCACATAGGATGAGAGAGATTGCTCTTGGCAACATTTAAAGAACTTTAGCAGATGGCCACCATTATATCCTACAGGTAGATACTGATAGTGCAATTTGTAATATCAAATTGAGGAATGGTAGGTGGGATGGGCAGCTGGTCAAACGAAGTGAGGTAAATCAGGGAAGGGCAGAAAAACTACCATATTTTCAAGCAAACTTGAACTTGCTTCTATCTGTATTTCCTCAGGCCAGTCTTGTCCCAGTCAAATTGGGAAAACCAAGAAAGTTTAGGTGGATCTCTCCTCCACTCGAATGGGAATTTTGGTCCTGGACCTGTCCTTAGAAATTGAATGCCACCTTCACTCTTGCCTCTTTGCCTACCAAGGGACCCTCTTCCAAACTTCTGCTGTACTCTCTAGTTCACATTATTCATTTACCTGATTGATTTCAGAATTTCAAAAGCCTAGGCCGCAAGAATTCAAACACTTTCCTGTTTTGAAGTACATGTAAATTAAGGCTGTCATAGGCTGGTATATAACAGTAGTTTCTGAGGGTTTTTTTTTACAATACTTTTGCTTTGCATATTCAACAAAGGTGACCTAAGAGCCCTTCAAAAACAGAAGATAGATGAGCTCAATAAAGACCAGAAAACTTTGGCTCAAATTGGAGACATTTCTTCACTGGATTGCTCTTTTACACATGGTTGAATCCAGCTTTGCCTAGTAGGAGTTTGCAGTAAACACAACGATCATTACAAGATCCTCAGAGTCTTTGCACACATACAATTGATCTCTTCATTTGATGGGTTTTTTTTATTATTATTACAGCTGTAAATGTCAATACTCTTCTTGACACTAACCATTAACATCACTACAAAGTGTAAAACATGTATATCTGACATGAAAATAGACTAAGAATGTCAGACTTAACTTCTGAGGCAGAAAGCAGAAACCTTGCTATCAATCAAGTAAGCTGCCCTTAACCTTCCTTGGGAGCCCTGGTGTCACAGTGGTTAAGAGTTTGGCTGCTAACCAAAAAGGTCAGTAGTTTGAATCCACCAGCCACTCCTTGGAAATTCTATGGGGCAGTTTACTCTGCCCTGCAGGGTCACTGTGAGTTGGAATTGACTCGACAGCAATGGGTTTGGTTTTTTTGTTTAACCTTTGTCTTGTCCCTGGGTAGTGCAAATGGTTAACTTGGCTACTAACTGAAAGGTTAGAGGTTGGAGTCCACCCAGAGGCACCTCAGAAAAAAGGCCTAGTGATCTATTTCTGAAAAAAATAAGCCACTGAAAACTTTATGGAACACAGTTCTACTCTGACACACATGGAGTTGCCACGAGTTGGAATCAACTTGTTGGCAACTGTTTTTTTGTTTGTTTGTTCTGTTGTTTTTTATAATTTCTTCTCAATTGACCTTACTTATCTGGCCCACATTACTGGTCTTGATGGCCACATTGTCATCCCTAACAGGCAACAGGCACTGCAAAACTTCTGTGATTGACAAGATCCTTCTTGGGGAATGGAAACAGCTGCTGACTGGGGGTGGTTTTCTCAGGCACAAGTGTGTCACTGAGAACATGTTGACTCAGAGCAGGGACCAGCCAGGGGCAAGTTGGGAGGCAGAGCTGTCCCTGAGAGGAGTCATGCAGAGAATCTGCTGCTTCATCCATCTCACTCTCCTCTGGGCAGGTAAGGCAGATCCCAGAACCTCAATCAAGCAAGATTCAGCAGCAGAAACATCAAGGCTCTCTGGCCCTGGTACTCATGTAAACTGACCCTTACTCAATGATCTCAGCCCCCCGTCCTCATTGAGCTGTCTCTTTTTTTTTCCCCCCCTCAGGAGTCATGTCAGCCATTGTGTTGGTGTCTCAAGATCAGGTAGTGATTGTGTCTGTGGGAAGGTCCACCACCCTCAGGTGCACCATGGAAGGAGAAACAATCACTACTATATAAACTGATATAGGAAGACCTGGGGTGACATACTGACTTTCATATACTGAGAAGGAAGTGGCTATGGCTCTAGTCTCCAAGGCAGGTTCCAGGTTAAAACTGATGATTCAAACAACCAGGCTGTACTTGAGATTCTTGAAGCATCAATGAGAGACGAAGGATCTTACTGTGCAATGCCTACCACCCTGCTGCAGTTCTACTTCTAAGCAGCTTAAAAACCATCAAGATCTATGTAGAACAGCAGTTCCAACAAAATCATGATTTTCTCTCAAATAAATAGTTTGAGAAATGGGGGCCAGAGAAAACTGTCATTCCTGCCTTTCTGCTAGGCTTGGTCATTCTCAGCTTTCCCATACACTCCTATGGTGCTCAAATAAGCAATCCCCAGTGGCTTGAGGCCCAGTGTGGCGAAGGAAAGAGGAGAGAGAGAACCAAAGTCAGGAACTGTAGCATTTACTGTATACTCAACAATTTCCTTTGAGCTTCACAAAAAATTTGGCTACACACTCAAAGTGCTTAGAGTATGGCATAGACTGAAGAGGCACTTTCCAAAGCATGACTGTGGATGACATCCAGATTTCTCCCCAACCTTATACACCATGAATCTAGGTGTTCTAGAGTAGGGGGGTTGGGAAGGTGGGGAGACTTGTCTCCCTTCCTTCAGCATCAGAAAGTGTGCACTGTCTGTCATCTTACCCAATGTGGAGGGCAAGACTTGATCTCTACCATTCTGTATTATTGGGTAATCATTGACCTAATATGGTTTTTTGCCCTCCCCCTCCATCTCTACCTCTTTACTTCCTCTTCCAGATGAGCTGGAAACAAAACATTGGAAAATTTCTTCCACTGACACTTCCTTATCCTTCTTTGGACAGCTCAGTTTAATAGTTTGGTTTTATCCAGAACAATGTACTTTTCCAGACTTAGATGATTGACAGGGCTCTCTATTCTGAAGCAGAACCTGCAGCAGAAATCAGCCTTCTTTCTGGCCTCATCTAGAGAATCTATCATTCATCTTATTAAATAGCCTCATTGGAACTTTTGGTGGTAAAGAATATGTTAGTTAACTCAATTGACAGGATAGTTTCATGGGTGTATAAAGAAAAAAAAAAACGCATTGCCATCAAGTCAATTCCGATTCATAGTGACCCTACAGGACAGAGTAGAACTGCCCCATAGGGTTTCCAAGGAGCACCTGGTGGATTCAAACTGTTGAACTTTTGGTTAACAGACATAGCTTTTAACCACTATGCCACCAGGGTATAGGTATACCAAAATTCATCAAATTGTGCAATTTTATACGTGCAGTTTATTGAGCATCAAGTATACCTCAGTGTGATGGTTAAGATTGTGTGTCAGCTTGGCTGGGCCATGATTCTCAGTGTCTATATGTGATCACTCCCTTGATTGAATATGCTGTGAGTAGCCAATCAGATAAAAGGGAGTTTCCTTGAGGGTGAGGCCTGCATCTGAATATAAGCAGACATTCTGGCTTTTTGCTCACTATGGATCCTGTGACTGCCTCCTGTCGTCTCACCTCTGGTTCTTGGGACTTGAGCTGTCAGCTTATCTGCCGAACTTGGGATTCGTTGATCTTCGCAGCCTTTGAGCGGAGCCCTGCTCTCTGACCTGCCGATCTTGGGTTTGCCAGCCCCTGCAGCTACATGAATCAGGAGAAACCTTGCAGTCTTGCCTGCAGATCTTGGAATTTGTTGACCTTCACAGCCTGTGAGTGGGAGCCCTGCTCTCTGACCTGCAGATCTTGGGCTTGCCAGCTTCTGCGGCTGTGTGAATTGGGAGAGGCCTCTACCCTGATCCACAGACTTAGGACTTTCTAGCCTCTACAATCATGTGAGCTGTTTCCTTGATATAAATCTCTCTATATATATATTTATACACTTCACTGGTTTTGCTTCTCTAGAGAACCCAGCCTAAGATACTCAGTAAAGCTGTAAAAATATTTTTTTAAGTTTAAAGTCAATCAAAAACGAAAAAACTTCATTAGACTATGTTAGGCAATGTCTAGGGAAAACTTTCTGCAACTTGTGGAAACCTCAGGTTCTGCTCAGTGTGACTCATATCGGGCAATAAATGAGAGACTGAGGTGGGAGAGCAGAAAGGTGCCTTTATTTTGTTGTGAAAGGAAAGGAGTCAGTTGGAACTGCTGCTGCCAAGACTGCTCTGCAAGGGCAAGGGCAAAGGTTATTTTTAAGGGGTTTACAAGAAGGGAGTTCATACAAATTACATCAGCAACATTTTTAATCATACTATGCAGGCGCAATGAAGTTTACATATAACTTCATGCATCGCCAGGATTTTTACTAGGCAGGCCAAGCAAGGAGCTAAGATTCTAAAGAAAAGTTACAGGGAAGGCCGAGTAAGCTGCTTGAGGCAGTGGAATTTTCTACAGCGTGGGGACCTCTGCCTTAAACTAACCACTCTAATCAAAAACCCTGCCCTCCACAGATGTACAAAGAGGCTGACAAACATTTGCCATCACACACATTTCATTGCAGTCAGGGCTCCTCGCTGTTCCAACCAAGGATCTTCCAGATCCCTCCACCTCTTGTGATTCCACCTGTCTTTTAAGACTTTGCTCGGTTCCACCTCCTTTGACATATGGAGATCTCTCCCTTCTCTGAATTCTTTCTGCCTTTGTAGCATATGCACTATAACTTACTGCTTTGTAATTGTTCCTTGCATTTTGGCCGTGACTCTTCATGAAGCTCTTGTCAAGTTATTTTCCCAAACAGCTATATTCCAGGTCCTCAAGAGTCTTTGTTCTCTCCATCCGAAGCCAAATTACTGTCTCTGGTGCCCAATACTGGCCTCATAGCTAGCTTCTACCACTCTGTCCCACCCATTTGGATGGCTTCTTTGGTTAGTGTGTCCGCAAGACTCTAGATATCAACTCTGCCCTTGAATAAAATCAGATTCCCAGAGTCCCATCCAAATTGGGAAACTTAAGCCCACATTCTGGGAAGGGAGTTTGAACCTAATCTTCCTAGAATGTATCCAGATTACCAAAGGGCCTATCTTACTCATCAAGCCCACTGACAGCTACTCATATCCAGTTATTCTCATCTGAACAAATGATAGGCAGGAAAGATGTAGTGTGTCTCCAAGACTGAAGGGATACAACTTTTCCCCCGTTTGAAATCTTGATGTCAAAGTTTTGAAACCACAGTAATAAGGCCTGCGTGATAAATTCCTGGTAAGAGACTGGGAAGAACGTCTTCGAGGAGAAAGAGGAAAAAGAACTAGACCAATCCACAAAACTGTATGTTAGCTAATATGATCTGGACAAATCCGTAAAACTGTATTTTAGCTAAGAATATCAGCTAACATTTGTTGAGTGCTTACTATATGCCAGGCACTATTCTAAGTATTTGACATGTGTTAATATGATTTAATCTGCACAGTAAACCTATGGTGGATTTTCTATTATTATCTCCATTTTACAAATGAGGGCATTAAGGTTCAGAAAAGGTAAAACTTTTGCTCAAGCTACCACAGCTAGTACGGGAGGGAGACAGGTCCCAGACTCTGGAGAGTGCTCTAGAGGACACAGCATGTGATTCATGGGGGTGGGAGAACTGTGGAGGCTGTCTCCAGGATGTGTCAGAAATGACCATCTGTCAGAAAACTGGGACAGGGAGCAGTGGTCCCAGAGGATCTCTCAGATGCCTTCTAACATTGAGATTTTTTGGTCCTGACATAAGCTTCACACTATCTTCTAAAGTCATGTGTACCTCTTCTTCTGTGCAATGGGAATAATGAGTACCAGCTTCTCAGTGTTGTTATAAAAATCTAATGCTAGGAATTAAGTAAATTGCATTGCACACAGCAGTTACTCAATACATGTTACTTAGCATAAAAAAGAACAGATGATCAGGTGGAATGATTGAGGACCAAAGTCAACAAAGGGCTAGCCACTTTATAGGTGTGGACTCACCTAACCCTTATGTCAACCCTCTGAGGTCATATTGTCGACTCCGTTTTACAAATTGGAAGACTTACTCAGAGAGACTGAGTAGCTTGCCTAAGGTTACAGAACTGGAGCCAGGATCTGGGTCCGACTCAAAGGTTGATTACCCTGACAATGGGTTAGGGGCCGTGAGAAATAAAGAAATAAATCACCTGTAACAATATCTGATTAAGGAACAACAGGGAACAAATGTGTGAAGTCCAGTCAGCTTTGCTGATGCGGAGGTCAAATATGCAGCCACCCCTCACAGGCACCCCTGCCTTCAACTCTCCGATGAGCCTCAAATGGGGAAAGGGACAACTAACTCCTCCCACCTCCCTCCCCTGCTTTAAAACACTGGTTGTTCTTCCAAGACACCTCACTCCCCTGGTGGAAGGAGGACAGCTGCTACCTACCAGCCCCCGCCATTTATATCGCACTCCTGAGCACCACCCCCAGGTCAGCAGCTTTTCTTCCAGGCCACACAGTGGGAAGTGAGCCCACATACCGCTTCCTTCTGATGCTTCTCAAAGGTAGCATTTTGTTGGACACCCTTAGAGTCTCTGGGAGTCACTGCCTTTTCTTTTCTTCTCAGGGCTGTCTGCAATGACAGCTAAAGGGGTCTGAGACCTGGGGAAATTCCTTGAGTTTCTGACAGGTTCATAGAATTGCTAACTTTACCACCCATACATATTTGTACTGTGAGGCAACATGCCCAAGTTTGTCTCTTATATTGTCACTGACTTATTGTCACTTATGTCAAGGCAGCAAAACGGCTCAAGACCTAGCATCTACTGTTCTCTGCAGTTACAGAGAAACAACCTGACACCAGCAAGCACAGCAATGGATTGAGGTACAGGAGCCACCAAGCCAAGAAGAGAATTGAGTTCAAACCAAATCTTCCCAGCTTTAGGTAGGGCTTTAGCCTGTTGCAGTGTCTTATGACAATAAATGATGGCTGATAAATTTTCCACACAGATAAGGTGAACAAATTCCAGAATCAAGGCTTCTTTCTTACTCTTCAACTCAACTTATTGCCACCAAATATTAATTTAAATGATAGGATTATACAGCTCTAATTTTTTTTTGTTGGAACCCTTCATTCATTCTTCCAGCAGAAGCCATCCCTTATCTCTGCTTAATTTGTCTCCATAGCATTTATCCCCATTTGATGTGCTATATATTTTACTTGTTTATTTTTTGTCTAGCTCCCCACTAAAATACAGGCTCCATGGTGGCAGATATTTTTGTCTGTTTTGCTCATTGCCTTAACTCCGGCACTTAGAACAATGTCTGGCACATAATAAGCACTCAATCAATATGTTGAATGAATGAGTGAGTGAAATATTAATGGGTGAGTACTATGAACCTCGCTCTGGGCTGGGTGCTGGGGATTCAGTGGTACACAAGACTGGTGCTGACTTTGCCCTCTGAAATTCTTTCCCAGAGCCTCATCTGTCCACTAACAAAATGCTATTGGCTGCAACAAGGGTTTTTGAAGGTTTGATAATAAAGTGCTCTAGAATACTAAATAACTTACTCTTGGAGAGCAAGTATCAATGCTCCTAAGTTCCTTGGTCATCCCCCCATGGAGGGATAAAATGGGGAGAATGGAAGGTTTTCTCCTTTCACCAGCTTTTCTCTCCTCTGAGCCCCAGTGCCCCAGCCCTGAGTCTTAGACTGTCAGGGAAAAACTGTACATTTCTACTTTATTTCACAGGGGTATTTTGTAAAGTCTCTCCCTATCTCTCTGCACAGACCTGCTGAGGCATGCTGTTTCATAACTAGAAGGCACAAAAAACACTCACTAAAGAAAAGAGCAATTCCTAATTCCCCCTCGCCCTACCACTGCCACCACCACTACCAAATGATTCAGGTATATTTCAAGAATGCAGAATCCATTGGGGTCTTTGTTTGTTTGTTTTGTAGCAATTCACATGTACACAAACACAAACATTCATGAATGATATTGTAGCATCAAATATTGAAGGAATTCTCTGATGGTAGACTCTGGATGCTCAATGGCTCCCATGACAACAGCCAGCCAATGGAGCAGTGTGCCATCCAGCATGCCACACTCATTAGGAAAAAGACCTGGTGGTGGGACAAAGATGTCAAGCCAAAATGCAATTGCTTGTATTAACCTAAATAAGGACAGATTCTCAAACTCTGTGTTTAAATAAGAAATCTAACAGCCATTAGTTTTATTTTTACCTGCATACGTGTGGGAAAATAGAGAAGTTTAGATTATTCTCTTTTGGCTTAAGGACAAAACCTTATGCATATTTATAATTTTCAGAAAAGGAAAGGTCAGTATAAATATTACTACTAGGGAAACAAATTATGGGAAAAGAAAACAATCCAGTGTACTGACTTTTGGAGACTAAAGTTGCTTTCATATAATAACCTTCATTTATTTATTCTATCACAATATATTAAGTACCTACTATGTGCCAGATAGGAGCCCTGGTGGCGCAGTGGTTATGAACTCTGCTGCTAACCAAAAGGTCAGCAGTTTGAATCCACCAGCCACTCCTTGGAAACCCTAGGTGGCTGTTCTAGTCTGTCCTATAGGGTCGCAAAGAGTCGGAATTGACTCAACAGCGACGAGTATGTGCCAGGTAGTTTTCTAGATACATAGGGAATAGAGCAATAAACAAAATAGATAAAAATCCTTAGCTCTCAGAAGCTAATGGAGCTTATATTTTAGTGAAAATAGATACAGAATAAAATAAATAAATAAAATACATGTTAGATGGTGATAATTGCCATGGAGAAGAATAAAGCAAAGAGTATGTGTTGTCAGGAGGATGGGGAAGATGACAATTTCCAAATCAGGTGGTCGAGAAAGACTACAATGAGAAAGTGACATGTGAGCAAGGCTTCAGGGAGGGAGGAGAGCCCAAGCTTTGGAGTACGGATGTTTGCAGGACTCCTCTGTTACAAATAACATTTTTGTGACACACAAGGTACCAGTTTTTCTGTAACTTGGGAAGATGGGGAATGGTTTTTTGTTCTTATCTTGCTGAGATCTCTTTCACCAGTAGTTTAGAAGACTTGCATTTTTCAAGGCCAGGTGGTGGAATTCCATTAATTAGCCCCAAGTGGGGTGGGGATGGGCGCAGTCCTGAAAAAGTCAAAATTTATAACATGGTGAAGAAGATGGCAAAATTGGATTACTGACAAATGGACTACGGGGCATATAATGTTGAACATTTTGCCTTGATTCTTTCTCTACTTATATACCTATGTCTTGTGGATTGATGAGTGTCGCCAACCATAAAATGAGAGTCTACCAGTTGGCTGGTGTTTTTCTAGCTGGTCCCCAAAACGACTCTATTTCAAAAGCCCCGAGAGAGAATCTGTAGCCTCACCTACACTTGTAAATTAATGTGCTTCCCAAGGACTGGCCCCAGAGACTGTGAGGCTGAAATAAAACAAACGTATTCACCTCAATGAGGTTCACAGTTTTTCCTCTTCTCCAGATAAACCTGAGGAATTTGAAGTAACTATGAAGAAAGCTAGATTGTCTTTACAACACATAGCAAAGCTTGAGGGAGTCAATCTCCAGAGCTCTTGGGTGTGCTGGGACTACAGGGACCAGGTTAGGCCCCAGAGTTGGTTTTCATCTTCATTTGCTACCTGATGGGAGTAAGAGGTGTTACTCAGAGGCAGAGAGAAGGAAAGTCACCATCTACAGGGACTATAGCCAGGAGGCCCAGGCTGAGTATGCATTGTCATAGCTCTGTCACCTCAAAGGCCTCCTCATTCATGAAGACCTCAGCTGTGTCTGCAGAGCACATATGTTGTAATCACGAGTGACTGATAAAAGATTAACTGCCTCAGTCTTCTAAAGTGGTGAAGAAGGATGTCACACTTCAAGTTTATAAATAAGGATACAAAGAGCCAGAAAGAACTGTGTAACTGGCATGATAAGTAGAAATCAGAGAGGTGGCATAGTAACAATAACCCTCCTCTGTAGTAAGAGTCAACTTAAAAATCTTTGAGTTCACAGCTAGTCCATGTCTCAGTACTAAAACCTTTATCATGCTTTCCACAGGAAGTATACCTCTTCAGCCCTAGAGCTGTACTACCCTCTGCTCCCACCCACCCCCACACACACACCTCCACACACACACAGCATCAGGGCACTGAGAAACCTTAATCAACCGATTCAACCTCTTCAGCTGAAAATGCAAAAACTGAGGAATGAAGAAATTAAATTATTTCCCCATGATCACACAACCAGCTAGAAGCAAAGCCAAAAGAGCCTAGGTCTCCCAACCCCTGGTCAAGAACTCCTTCTACCACACCCTGACACCTGGGTGCCACAGAAAACTACTCTATTACCCATGTGTTTCCAGTCCACATCCCTGCTAGGCTAGTCTCTTCTCCAAAAAATCAAAAAACAAACCCATTGCCGTTGAGTCGATTCCGACTCATAGCTACCCTATAGGAAAGAGTAGAACTGCCCCATAGGGTTTCCAAGGAGCAGCAGGTGGATTCGAACTGCCAACCTTTTGATTAGCAGCTGAGCTCTTAACCACTGCACCACCAGGACTCCAAGTCTCCCATCCAAGCAGCTGTAAAATCTCTCCCTTTCTAGCCAAGCTGAGCCCCATACTAGAAATGTGTGGGCAGCTTGAAGAGTAGGAAGCCCTTGTCTGTGTTATGGGAGCACAGAGCTTCTAAGAACTCAAGGGAGCTTGACAACAGTCCAGTCTTTTCTTTCTACCTCTTTCTGAAGAAACTCCTTGAAGTCTCAACCCTGTCTTGGATCTTTTTGTGTCCCTCTGGCGGCCTAGCATCATACTGAGCACATAGCAGGTGTTCAGTACATGTCACTGGGTAAAAGAAGAAAGGCTGGTCTCCTTCTCTCTCATCTCAGCCCATATAAACCCCCCTCACTAGGGACCTTGCTTCTCACTTCCTGTCCTTTGTCCCCACAGCTATGTTGCTATGATCCTCTCTGCTGAGGAATGAATGCATCAATGGCCTTAGCTTTCCAGGCAGCCTTTTCCCTTCCTTCCATTGAGAGACAAAACCTCCTCTCTTGTTTTTTCAAAATAAGCAAAGGCAACAATATGACTATACTCTTAAGAAAGAAAAGCTGGTGAGGTGCTTTCTTGTTGTTGTTAGTTGTGGTCATGTCAAATCTGAGTTATGGTGACCCCATGTATGCAGAGTAGAACTGCTCCATAGGATTTTCAAACCTGTGGCCTTTCAGAAGCAGATCGCCCAGACTTACTTCCAAAACGACTCTGGGTGGATTCAAACTGCCAACCTTTTGGTTAGTAGTCCAACGTTTAACCTTTTTTGACATCCAGGGACTCCTACTGAGATGCTATATGATTATAAAAATGACAATGTTATTATACTCAGCACTGGTCTGCCGTTTCCACAAGGTCACAGACCTGGTAGATTTCTGGGTTTCCCCGGAGTGAATCATGGAGAAATTAGACTGTGTTTAGTTTCTGCATGTGAAGAGTTATTACACAATAAAAAAAAAAAATCACAAAACTGGAAAGTGTGTTCAATACCCGGTTCTGCCCTGTGAGAACTTTTGCAAATCATTTCACCTCTCTGGTCTCATTTATAAGGTGAAGGAGCTGGAACCGATACAGCCTGAGGTCTCTTCCAGTTCTCACCGTCTATGACTGTATGGTCAGTTGTTCCCATTTCCTATAAGCCGAGAAAAAGAGAAAATATTCTGAAATTTCAGCGTAAGAGGTTAAAAAAGAAAATCCCCTGGAAATAAAAATCCTTATCAACTACAGTTAGTAGTAATAATAATAATTGGTGGCCTAGAGTCACAAAGTACTTTTCTATGTGCAAGGCACATTTCTGAGCAATTTACATGCTTTGTTTAACCCTCACAATAATCCCATTGCTATTATCATCTTCGTTTTACAGATGAACAAACTGAAGCATGGAGAGGTTAAAGCATTGTCCAGGGTTATACTGCTGATCAGGAGACTGAGCTGGGACTTAAGTCCAGGCAGCCTGCCTCCAAAGCTACTGTGCCAACAACTACAGCCTCCTTTATCTGGGTCGAATACCCACCCAGAGTCCTCTCTGACTGCAGTCGACCCTAATCTATAAAAGGAAGGGCAAGGAGGGCAGAGCTATTTCCTATCGGGTTCCCATGATGCTGGTCTTGCACTTTCAAAGAAGATTGGTAGCCTCCATGGGGTGTCTCTGAGCACCTTTCCACCCTCGATCCCTAGCATGTAGTATCTGCCTTGTGCTCTTTCTCTACGGTAATGCAGAAGTCACAGTTTTTGCAGTTGTGTAGTACCCATCTCTTACTCATCATCTTATCAATACTTCCTGTTTTCCAGAGGTCCAGTCATGGAGTTAGCTGTTGGCCTTTGGGGGACCGTGAAAAGCTCTGGGGACTCCCCGATGATCACCTGCAACACCTCTGGGTTTGAATTTGGACTTTCTGGATGAACTGGCACTGCCAAGCTTCAGAAAGACCTCATGAATTTGTTTCCAAAATTAGTCCCTTGGGGGATTTAAGAAGTACACATCTTCTGTGAAGGGAAGGTTTCTTATTTCCAGGAACAATGCCAACAATCAGTTGTACTTACAAACCAAGAGACTGAAACAGGAGGACTCAGCTAAATATTATTGTGCTATTGTCACAGCAAACCATAGAGAAACCAAGGTGGATTGAAATCTCCCTGTGAGCAGAGCAACAGGAGAATTTGTGTGTACACTCAGTGATCTTTCTCTCGCTGGATCTCCTTCTCCAGGTCTATACCTCCACCTTAATCTTACTTAGTATTTGTCTCTTATTCTTCTGTGAAACATGACTTCTTTACTTTGCTCCTTTGGATTTTCCCAGTCTTTTCACCTTCCAACTTACTGCAGCCCAAGCTGGTAGGACCAAAGAGTGAGGAGAAATGAGCCCTGATGTGGTGGAGGCTGTATGGGATCAGTCCTGGCTGACCCTTCCAGAAGTTCTGTTGGCTAGAGGGAGGGTCCTGAATGATTATTGGGGGTCAGAAAGTCTAACCCATCCCTGTCTCTCACGTGGGGCTGGTCATCCATCGTAGTTGCCTTTCTTGGTCCTTGACTTCTAAGACATTGGACAAAGGTGATACAACATGTGATAATGCCAAGATGAAAGGAAGGTGGGAGTACTGGTTTTCTCTAAGTTCCAGCTAACCACATCCCGCAATCCTTGTGCGACATCTGCAGACCCACAAAAATAGCTTTATTGTGTTAACAAAAGTTCTCATGGCACAATTTAAATAGGTGTAGTTTCCTCTCTTAAATAGATGGCAATATATTGCAGATAGGTAGTATGATATACAAAAACAAATATACTTTATAATTCACAAAAACATATCACTGAATTGTACATGTAAAAAAATATTAAAATGGCTAATATTTTGTTTCATATATAGCTAGCAGAATAAAAAAAATTAATGTATGTTGAACTTAAAAGCAATAATCTGCAAATTGTCCCTAATTTTGGCAAGATCCTTTCACTATCTAAAAATGAACAAGTTTTAAAATTTGGACTATAAATTGCATATATGTTTTTACATGTCTGTGAATTATTTTAGTAGTAAAAAAAAAGTATAGGCTCAGGAGCCAGACAAAAATGGGTGAAAATCACAATTCTTTCACTCACTAGTTATAGGACTTAGAGCAAGGTTGCTGAATTCCTCTAAACCTCTATTTCCTCATCCACAAAACAGAGATAATAATACATATTGCATAGAGTTAGTACAAGGATTAAATGAAATAATTTTCAGAAGTCACCTAGCACGGCTGGGTGACTGGTACATCAAAAGTGCTCAATAATGCTAATATTCTTTTCCTCTCCACACTTAATCTGAAGAAAAGTGATTTTTACTAGGAAGAGAAAAGACTAAAGAAGCTAAAATGTGAGGGAACATTGCCAATGACCACGAGCATTTTTCCAAAATGCTCAAAAGTCCCAAAGGCAAGTCCATCATTTTAAGTTTCTAGTTCTACAATAATACACAATGTCCTCCTTGCTCTTTGTCTGTACCAGATGAAGGTGGCCAGCCCAGTCTCAGCTTTATCAGAAGTAACGAGGAGAATGAACTTTTTATGCCAAAACTTTTCCCAACAGACTCGGTTCAGATGTCTGAGATAAAAGTTGGACCAGGGAGTAGGGATAGATTACCCAATAAGCAAGGTACACACTGGCTTAATTGTGCTTACTTACAAATCTGTAGTGCACAATTTCACTGGTTTTCACCACATCCAATGCACACCTTGCTTCTTGTAAGCAGGTGTATACCATGCTTACTGGTTAAACCACCCCTGCCAGGAGGTCTCAATTTTCAGAAAGCTCAGCCTATCTAGCTCTGAGGATGCTCTCCCTCAGAGCCTCCCCAGTCTTAGGATGTTGTTGTTGTTGTTAGGTGCCATCAAGTCAGTTACGACTCATAGGGACCTTATGTACAACAGAACGAAACACTGCCTGGTCCTGAACCATCCTGGTCCTGCACCATCCTCTTGATCGTTGCTATGCTTGAGCCCATCGTTGTATCCATTGTGTCAATCTATCTCATTCAGGGTTTTCCTATTTTTTTGCTGACCCGCCACTTTACCAAGCATAATGTCCTTCTCCAGGGACTGATCCCTCCTGATAACATGTCCAAAATTAAGTCTTAGGATATGTTGAGTTGATTTACCCTTTTGAGAATAGAGAGAACTTTTCCTGTCCTTAAAAGGGAATCTATAAAGTTTAGTTACTAATCTATGAGGGGTGACATTTGTCAGTCCTCACGCTGCCCATGCCATCTACATGGGGTTACTTTTCACTATTGTACTTTGTCAAGAAAACTAAGTTCCCCTAAATGAATCCCAAGGATGATGTCCTCATTCCAGTCCTCCAACTTCTACAGTTAAAGAAGTCCCCAGGGGGCTGATCCAAGGGAGCTAGGAGAAAAAGGCAGGGAATCTGAACTGCTCTTCTGCCAGAAATGCATGTTCTGGTAGGAGAAGATGATGAAATGGTATTTGCACCAAATCACACACTGAATAAAAGCAATCAGGGATCTAAGGAAACTTCTGCTTGCTAGTAAGAGCTGAGGGGGGAAAGAAAATTCTTGTGTAACTTTAGATAAGTCAGTTAACATCTTTGAGCCTAAGATTCCTTAACTGTAAAGTGAAGAGTTTGGATTAGATTATCTCTAAGGTTCCTTCGGCACTAACAGGCTAGAGGTCTCTGCTAAGCAAGAAATAGAAGGAAGCAATTGTGGGGCAGAGGGGATCAAATCTGACAGATGCCCAAGATTTGAGAAAAGCAAGTTCAAGCCTAGCTGATTCTTTTATGTGACCCAGTAAGGATAAAATCAAAAGAAGGTACTAAACGAAATACATTCATGATTAATCAAAGAGGATTGAAAGTTGTTGCTAACCTCACACCTACCTTGCTTTGCCTCCAGCTCACCTCCCTTGGGATGCTCCTTCTCTTCTTAATGCCTCATCATGATTCTCAAAAACTGTGATCACTCAAGGCTGAAGCTTTTAATCTCCCATGTATAAAAGGATATGCAAATAGAGTTCAGTTTCCTGTTGAGTTTCTGCCAAGGTCTTAACCTGGCAGTTCTGGGAAAGGAGCCAAAGGCCTGATACTTCTTCACTGCTAACATTCCCCCATCTGTGCTCAAGTCAGTGGCATGGGCTTCAGGCTGTGGCTTGTCTTTAGCCTTCTACTTCCCCAAGTTTTCTAAAGGAATCCTTAAAAGGGTCCCACTAGAAAGGAAGATAACAGCTGGTTCCCAAGTAAACAGACAAAGGATTATCTGGTTATTTTTTGCAGCAGTATGAAAAAGACCAGGAAGGCTATATTCCTATATAGCCTCAGAATTCAACCTTGTAATCTACTTGAGATACTAATATTAATGAGGTCCTAGGCAGTACTTATCAGGAGCCCTGGTGGTGCAGTGGTTAAGAGCTACGGCTGCTAACTAAAAGGTCAGCAGTTCAAACCCACCATCTGCTCCTTGGAAACCCTATGGGGCAGTTCTACTCTGTCCTATAGGGTCGCTATGAGTTAGAATCGACTCAACGGCAACGGGTTTTTTATGCAATACTTGCAATGAATCATTTGTGTGTTCAGTATGGGGTGTCCCACATCATACATACACAGGGTGGGAAAGGCAAGGTCCCTGGCTATAATAACAGCATTGTACAGTATTCAAAAACAAATGGCCTGGATAACATAAGACATCCAGCGTGTTTCTCAACCAGAGGCTCGGCAGAATCAGGGACCAGGCTAATTGTCCCCTGTGTCTCCGATTGAACTCACCCAAAATAGAAGCCACTGTTTACAGAAGCAAGACATCTAGCACTCAAGTTCATTGAAATGTTGTTACCAATATTCTAATGGAAAATTATATGTTCCAAACTATGTTTAATTTTGTCTATTAATTAAGCATAAAAAATTCCTCTTTTTCTATAATCATGCTGGCTTATTTATTTTTTCCAGTATTTCCCTTCTGAGGCTAATTCCTACAAGAGCTTTTCTTTTCAATCTCATTTCCATTACAAGGTCAATGGACAAGTTAATTTTTTTATATTTCTTCAGAAAGCTCTACAAAGAGATTTCCTCTTCCATTTCTCTGTTGTCCCAGGCAGCTATTGGGAGCATAGAGCTCAGTGGTAGACATCTTTGAGGTAATACAACATTAGTAAAAAACGCTCTCAATGTTATTGTTCCACACTCATTCACTCAGTGTCTTCTGCAGCATTTATTTCTAAATACCTTTTTTCTATTCTTGATCCTTGAGCTTCAACTTTTTAAAATCATTCTTTCTTCTTTGAAATATACTCATAGTGTTAACACTCTACACACGTCCCATCTCTCAGTTCTCCCTCCCTGCCTCCATCACCCTGAGCCCTTCACCCTCCAATAATAATCATTTCCAGACCATTTGCGTCTCAACGGAGAAGTGATGCATATCAGCCCCTTCTTACTTCTGTTTTATCTTCTTCTTAGTCCCACCCAGATCTCTGCAGGTCTGAGAGTTAGCACCACCTAGTGCCACTTGTGGACATTGTTCTTGGAGACCTGTCCACAGAACAGCACTTTGGGTCTGAGCCTGAATTCATTGACCTTATGACCCTGGGTAATGCAAACAGTTAATGTGATAGGTTGTTAACCAAAAGGTTGGAGGTTCCAGTTCACCCAGAGGCACCTCAGAGGACAGGTCTGGAGATCTCCTTCCAAAAATTCAGCCATTGAAAACGTTATGGAGCACAGTTCTACTGTGACACACATGTGGCCGCCAAGAGTAGGAACTGACTCGACTGCAACTGGTCTGATCTGGTATGGCCCTTGAAGATACCTGGCTCAGAATGACTTGGAAGTTTCTATCTGGTCTGGTATGACCCTTTAAGGTACCTGGCTCAGAATCATTTGAAGTTTCTATAGAGCCCTGCTTAGTTAGAATTCACACAGAGAGAAATGGTGAAAACATGGCCCACACACTTCACCTATGAAGAATTACTTGGGTTACTCATTCACCAAAAACACACAGATCAGATGATGCCATTATAAATTACAACATTTTGTCCTATGTAAGCCCCAAGATGTCATACTCCCTTCCAAATGAAAGATAATTTTGCTCCGTGTTTTCTTTCTTACAAGTTCATCTAGAGTCACGAAAGCACAATGTGAAATATCAATAATAACCTAACACCTTACATTTGCACAGTACTTTATAATGCTTTCCCTAACATTATCTCTATTTGATTTTTTTCCAACAATATTTAGAAAACCAGGTTTGAATATGCAGATCCCTTTTTACACAGAAGTGACTTGCCCAAGTTTGCGCAGTTAGTAAACAGCAGAACATGAGCCTAAATCTAGGTCCAGTCTCTTAATCACTGTAACTTGTAACTGGAAAGGGTCGAGCTCAGAATTGAATCTTAGATTCTACAGGATATATGGATCATAAGTAGCTCCAGGGAAACCCTGGTGGCATAGTGGTTAAGTGCTGACTGCTAAACAAAAGGTCAGCAGTTCATATCCGCCAGTGCTCCTTGGAAACTCTATGAAGCAGTTCTACTCTGTCCTGTAGGGTCGCTATGAGTCGGAATCAACTCGACAGCAGGGGGTTTTTGGTTTGAAGAAGCTCCAGGGCAAAGGTTGGATGTACCAGTTCTGCGGACTGTAATGGGAGCTGTCCAGTTCTTACCCCGTCAATGGAAGAAGGAGCATTGTCACCTCAGACAACTCCAACTCTCTGGTCTACTTTTGTTTTCCTAATACAACATCTTATTCTGCAAAGTATCTATGGCATACCTAGTCTACTTAAAAATAAGTAACCTAGAACAAGTCAATACAGTCTGGTGTTACTCTGGAGGCCCAAGGTAAAGTAAGTGGAGTTGACTCCAGAATAAAATCTTTCCTTCTCTACAATGCAAAGACTTCAAGGGCTATATATAAAGCAGGTCTCTAATCACTGTGTATTTCAATTTGGATGTATTTCTTCCAGTTGTTGTTCATAGTGCAGGATTCAGTAGTGAAAACTGACACTTCATTCTATATATACTACTTAACTATAGCGTTGAGTGATTGTGTGGAGGAAAGACAATTTTGTACCCGGATTTACTAAGCTCTATTTTAATGACAAAAATGCTTTCTTCCTACATTTATTTGACCTCTGGATAGATCTCTTGACAGAAGATGTTCAGGTGGGCTTTCTGTGACTTTTTGTCTTCCACACCCCAAGCCATCTGGTGTCCATCGGATTAGGAGAAAGGATCTCCTTGTTCAGCAGTGTTTATGCCACCACACTGATACCAGTAGTCAAACCTGACTACACAGAATGGCTATTCAACCTGGAAAATCTCATGTTCCAAGAGAGGTGGGAAGTGGTGGGACAGATGGGCCTCAATGCTGGGAAACTGTGCATGTCCAATGCTGACTCAGCCTTCTCACCAGCTGCCTGATCCAGCAGATGCATCTTCCTTAGGAGGCACCAGAGACCCAGAAAGTCCACATCCTCTGGTTTCCTGTACCCATAAAACCCCACATTTGAGTTCCTTTCCAATTCAGAGAACAAAAGCTTCTGGCGTTAGACCAATTCACAACAGATGTGGGTCACGACCGCCAACTACCCAAGAAGCATCCACTAGAGCAGGGCATGAGAATCAGTATCTTAGAAATTCCCATATGTGTGATCCCATCAACCATCTAACACCTGCTCAAAGAGAGAGATGGGGAGACTTCCTCCTGTGCATGTCCAGTGATTTATCCCTTTCTGCTTGGAATTAAGAAGGATGAAATTACTACTAAGATTTATGGAGACTGAGACAGAGTTAAGAAAATAATTAGAAAGTAGATATTAAAATTTTTTATGTACTTTAAGAAAATCTGCAGCTCTACCCATAACTTTGACATAATCCCTTCTTATATCACTGACCTTGCCTAATTCACTGTCTAAGTCCCACATGGTGGTCATACACTGGACAGGCATTGTAAGCCATGAGCAATAGGACCCTACCTCTCCTCATATGTAAGATAATGGGGACAGGGATTCTGCCTATCAGAATATCATTACTAGTTTGTGCCAGGCCTTGCAAGCATATTTTTGTATAACAACTATCTGTAGGAAATTGTACCCTAGCTACCTCTAAGACTGTAGACTTTTTAACTATTTTTTGCTCCAAGGAAATGGTCCCTGCTGTGGACTATTTATTAAAGCTAAGAATGATAGGAAAGAGAGGGACAAAGTATAAAGAGAGAAACAAAGACATCAATAACAGGGAATATATTGTTGTAGACTCTGAATATTTATCACTTGAGTTTATATTAACCTGATCTCCCTGGAAAATATTAAGGTCAGTATTAGGATGTGTATTTTCTCAGGGTCTCTGGCAGAAAATATGAGAATTCAGATATTGCAACTGCAAAGAAAATTCAGGGATTGCTACTGCAGAGTCTACCAAAAAACAAAACAAAACAAAAAAAACATTGCTTAGCTGTAACTGGAGTGATCCAAAGTTTTAGCAGTAGCCAAAGGAGGCTGCCAGCTGCCAGCCCTCTGCAAACTGTAAAGGAGATCATCCATGGCTCCCCATTCTCATCCTTCTGTGCCTTTTCTTGGACCCTCCTCCCTATTACATCCTTCATATCCTTTCATTCTATTCCCATCAAAACAACCTGAAATCAATGTACACTAACGTATAAGTGATGGAAATAGATGGAGGCTTTAGCTTTTCCAGGAAAGGGCCAAAAAAGACCCACTGCTGTCTAGTCGATTCCCACTCACAGCGATTCTATAGGACAGAATAGAACTGCCCCAGAGGATTTCCAAGGCTGTAAATCTTTCTGGACGCAGACTGCCACATCTTTTTTCCATGGATCGGCTTTGAATCACCAACCTTTTGGTTAACAGCCGAGTGATTTAACCACTATGCCACCAGGGCTCTGGGAAAGACAGGGGGTTGTATTTTAATAGAGATCATAACCATAATCTAAAGACTGAAGCAGCTATGGCAGGATTTTCAAAGCTTGAGGGACATTGACCAAAATGAAAGGCAGAGCTTGTTCTCTACTTGGTGGCATCATGTGGATCATACAAGGAGAGTCTGGAGCCTCCCAGAGTGAGCACTTCTCTTCCCGTGTCCAGGAAAAGGCCTAGCTGGAGTGCACAACAAAAGAGAACATTCACCTGACCATGGAGAGAGAGATGGTTCAGCAGAGGGCAGAATTAGGCCCACTTGGAGAGTGGGGGAGATAACCTGGAAAGAGATTTGGTTTCGATAGAATGAACAGCTTTGTAGTAGTTGACAACACTCAGCTGTGAAACAAGCCACCTTGTCAGAGAATGAGCTGCAGTAGATGACTACACTGGGTAGGCTATCCACACTGGCATGGAGCGAGAACTCAGTGACC